TATCAATCCTTCAAAAACAATGCAAACAAGATAGTAGGGATGGCACTTGCGTCATCCCTATATAATAGCACAGGTACACAGTATAGTAGAATGTTAACAGACAAAAATAGGACAAATTAAACTCAGTTGTGATTTAATAGTTATATATATTGTCATCCCTACTATCTTGTTTGCATTGTTTTTGAAGGATTGATATTAGCCATCCCTACATTTACTTCATTGTTTGTAAAGTATTTTCTTTAGTTGTATATATATTGCTTCCTCAGTGATTACACTCAACAATTTGAGTGTGCCTCTTAGATAAGGATATAAAGTTTATGTACTTGTTACCAAACGTACATATGGGTTTGCGTTTATCCTGATTGTCAACAGTGCTATAGTTTACGTTTGTCCTGATTGTCAACATTGCTACTGTTTACGTTTGTCCTGATTGTCAACATTGCTATAAATAAATCTATCTATATGAAGAACAACAATCTGTGTGTCTGACTGTTTGTCTCTTATCTAACTACTCCTAAGACACTGTGCCAATCTCAACCAAACTTTATGGGATGATAGTCTGGAACAAGAGCAAAATAATAGGGGTTCACAACCCCTCCACTTCCATTATTGCTGTTATTGAGCATTTATTATCTCTGACGTAAGTTAATGTTAACATTCATATACAGCGCCGCGTTCTTACACCAAACAAGCAAAAAATTTACTAAATATTTCGTACCCCCAGTGGGACAGCGGTACTTCTTCGCATTTACAGCGATAAAATCAGGGGTTTGGTTCCCCTCAGTGGATACAGCAGATAGCTCGATGTGGCTTTGCTATAAGAAAGCACACACACATATTTTGTATAACACAACATACACACAGTGCGGGGGGAAACGCACACAAACGTCTTACATATCTCACAGAGTGCACTAGCACTATCTATGGAGGAGTGCAATAAAAAAGTGGCCGCTACTATTGTAATAATACATAAACACAGATGAAGTTGATACGACAACAGCCACAATATCGCTGATATGATGAGTAGTTTCTTGAATCATACACACTTCCTAATTTGACCCGTAACCTTACAACTTCATCCCATAAGACACTAAACCGTCAAATAATTAACAACGTGAAACAGTGTGGAAGTACATGAAGAGGTGGGGGTTGAAAGCGCGCGTAACAGAAAGCACCCCTACAGCCATTCTTTGGCCACTGTCTCTTCCTACAAAGTCACCCTGACCATCACACAGTGTATACCATGTTTTAAGTATACACCTGGAAAAAAGTTAAGCACCCCCGTGTTTTTTTCAAGTGATTCAGATTCGACGTTCTTGTGACTGATTATAAATTACCATTCAATCTAAACGTGTTTATCAAATGAAATTATGCATTATTGGGCACAAGAAAACAAGATTATCACCGTAAAATAACAATTTTTAATTTACATATCATGACATCAAAATATGGACAGTTTTCACGCTTAAAATTATCTTTAATAAGTATTGTTAGTGAAAGCTCAAAAACGTTATTGAATTGTCAAATCACATTACAAAATGTCAACCAAAAACGTTATTGAATTGTCAAATCACATTACAAAATGTCAATCATGACCCACACATTGATAATTAGTCATCGAAAAGTCAATATCGGGTATATCCACCGTTTGCCTGGATGACTGCTGCAACCCTGCGCCACATACTGACAGTTAGACAGTATGAAGCGTTATCTGTCGCCATTCTCGGTGCAAGTGAGCTTCTAACTGTTGCAATGTCTGTGGAAGGAGGCTCCAAAGCCTGTATTCGCCTACCCAATTGGTC